CAGAGCTGCCACTCTGCCACTCCTGTTCCACTCACAGTCCCAAACCGTGCAAGGGCTCTTCTTTGTCGGCCAGAGGACTTTTCTGGGAGATGCCTCTCCCTTCTGAGGTTTATTATTCATCAACCAAGTATCCTTGACAACGACGGAGCCACGGCAAGCAGCCCGAGGTATTTAGCTGCATCCAAATGGTTTGCCTGAGCTCACCCAGTGAGCCGGGGGGACAGCCAGAATTAGAAGTCCCCAAGTTTAGATTTCCACGGGGCAGTGGTTTGCCTGTAACCAACATGTCCTTATGCTGGTCAATTCCTTCCAGAGCTGCCGAGTGTTCAGGAATCTGGCCAGTGTTCAGCGAAACGGCCTTGGATGTGTGCGATCGCCCATCACAGGAGGGAGGCGCTTCTCACCTGCTGCCCTTTGCCCTCCCGTTTCTCCTTCCTTCGGGCCACCCCACGCTGCGTGTCTCCAACTGCACCACCAGGTTGTCCACATTTCTCCCCCTTCACCTCGTCCCCGCCCAAGCCCTGCAACCCGCAACGCGTCGCATTTATCCTCGTGTCGCCACAGCACGCGAAGCAACCTGGCACACAGTAGGTGTCGGTGACCCGAGCTCCACCGAGACCAGCAATCCAAGGCCTGGATCAGAAATGCAAGTGCAGAAGAGACTTTTCTGAAATCCTCGCTGAGCTGGTGCTGGCAGAGCCTCTCTGAGAGGCGCACAGCTCTGGGGCGCGTGAGGATGACAAACCAGCCCCACTCCCAAGAACTGGTCTTCTCACTGGGAAGGTCAGGACGGCACGAAGGCCCACTCATCCCTCACGCCTGGGCAAGGTGGCAGGGGCCCCTTCAGCAGGAAGATGAGGGATTTCCACTCCATTGGCTGATGGGGCCTTCAAGGAGGGTGGGGTGATCGAGGGATCTTCCGGAGAGGCCCTGCCATGAAGGCAGAGTCACCCAGCCTGGCGGAGGCAAAGACCCTCCACAAAGGAGAGATGGAGGTGAGAGCTGGGCCTTGAAGGGTGGGCAGGGAACTCAGGCCTGGGCCTGCCCGAGCAGGAGCCGGGAAGGTCTTGAGCAAGGCCGTGGCTTTGGGGCAGAAAAGGATTTTGAGAAAGGAGGCAGAAGGCTTTGCAGTGGGTGCTGGTGCCTGGGTGCAGACCAGGCTGCAGCAGACACCTGGCAGGGAGGGAGGAGTCACTCCTCTACAGGAGAGCAGATAAGATAACGTGGACAGGCTGGGGGTCTGGGTCCCAGCTCTGAAACCAGGGGCCCCCTGGCCCTCTGGGCCCTTCAGGAGCTCTGCCTCCTCTACTGGCTTTCTGCAATTTGTGACCTGTGACCTACAATGGAATTTCATGGAGAAATTCAGCATTGTCCCAAGACAAGAGCTGCTCGCCCTGTGCAGCTGCTCTTACTGTTTGCACACTTGGAAACTGAGGCAGGACAGGACTGAGTTATCTCAGGCTTGTGGCTAAGAACAGAGTTCTCTTCTCCCTTCCAGCTTCTCCAGAGGCTTTGTCCAGCGGGAATCATGCTACAAAAGCTCATGCTCTGGTCTCTTTGCAAAAGCACTACCCCATCCACTTGGCTGGTCCCAGTTGGAACTGAATGTCAATTCAGATAAGGAGAATCCTCGCTGCCTCTAGAACCATCAGGCAATTGCACATCACTGAGTTTTACTCTTTTTTGCCAATCCTGCATCACGTCTATGGGGGACCCAACCAACGAACCTGGGGCAGAAGTCCAGGAAAGCTTCAGTCCAGGCAGCATCTGTGGCTATCTGCCAGGCCTGATAACAGAATGGGGAGCTGTCTGTCCCCCCAGTGCCAAGCAAATGGAAAACAGTCTTGAGTATACATTCATTAGTGACCCTGAGTGGTCTTATTTTATGCAAGTAAGTCACTGCTTTGAATTCTTCAAGAACTCAATAAATAATAGAGAAAAACCCAGACCTAGACTCACATATAGGCCACCTAGCCCCAGAGTCCTTAGACATACTCCACATTAACACATGGCACACCCTCGTCCACTTTAAGTATTAGGGGATAAAATCCCACATCCAGAAACCCGATCTGGTCTGTTGTGCTCAGTTGCCCTCCAGGGAAGCAGAGCTGTACCCAGAAGAGCAGATCCAGAGATTCCCACGTCACAAAGGCTGCGTCTCGGTTGGCCGGGTGTAATCAGAGCCCTAATTCCCACCCAGCTTAGGACCAGGACGAGGCAGTGGGAGGTCAGCCAGGCTGGGAGAGCCGCCTCACTACGGGCTCTGGGCTGCACACAATGGGGTTCCCAGGAGAAGGCTGCACAGTCTTAGGCTCTTCATATAAAATTGAGGGAAGATGTCTAGGAAGTATCTGTTGCAACAGGAAAAGTGAAAGATGCTGCTATCTGGCAGTCCCAGCCTGCAAAATGTGAAGTCCCCCACACTGCCCAGGGCTCCTTTATCTGACCCTTGGCCAACAGAGGTTCAAGGCCACCTGAGATAGTCTCAGCCCCCTCCGCCCTTTGAATGCCTAGGACAGAACAGTCTGCTTCCAAACTTACTTGTAGCTCTGCAAAATAGTCACCATAAAATTATGCAATTCCCTGATCGCTTTAGTAATGAAGCAATAATATTGGGTTTTTTTCCAATTCTAAATTAATAGATTCTTAGTAAGAAAAGCATCAAATATTCCCTACAGAAAACCACCAAGTATTCAAAATCAGGAACACTCCCTCCACCCCTCCCTGGCCTGATCTATTTCTTGCTTAGGTGCTTGCCTGCTTTTGTTTTAATAGAAAATATGTATCCTGGAGCTATACATTTTCTTTTCTGGGCCTTAAAAACACTGGACATGACACAACCTTTGGCTCCTTTCTAAATTATACCTACACACATGCAATCCAATTGTAAGGCATTTTAATACTATTCTTGTCCCTTAGAGTAAAACTAAATCCCTCAGTTGCCTAGTTTAATGGCACAAATGCCTTTTGGCTCCAAATTCCCTTCGTGTTCTACAAAAATCATTGAGAAAAATCTAAAGTTCTGAAATCTCCGAGGTCTTTTCTTTCTCCTCGGTTACTCCTCAGGTCTATAAAGTGACTGCCCTTCAGCCTGAGGTCTGAGTAACTTCAACCAGCTTCCCGCGTGTCGATCTGAAAACAGGAGCTCTCTTCCTAAAATGATCACACAAAAAGCCACTGTTCCTGATTAAGTAGGGTTTTTTGTTTTTTGTTTTTGGGTTTTTTTTTTCCATTCAGAAAGCCTATACTCGGCCTGTTCTGGGCCTGATTAGAAATCATAATACCTTTCAACTCTCTCAGGACTTGCCGTTAATATGGGATAAACTCACCCCCGAAGTCCTGGCTCAGTTAAGCACAGACATACTGCCTTGTCTACACTTTCTGGAACTTTTTTTAAACTATGACTGCAATGCATGCCCCTTTAAAAAAAAAAAAAAAATCTGATGGGCAGCAAAATACAGCCATTCCTCAGTTTTTCCCTTTGCTTTTCCACCCCCATCCTGTGTGGCTTCCCCCCTTCCCCCTCCCCCATCTCCTGGAGGTTGTGGCATTAGGCTCAGCAGTTGTGTGCACACTCAAGTGTTTATGGCAGAGACTGGGGGAAAAAGAGCAAATTGTTTCCAAGCTAGAGCTCCCATGTTCAACCTTCCTCTAGAGAAAGGCTTTGCACTGGGGAAAGCTCATATTCTGATGAAAAATAGACAAGCAGTTTATCCATTTAAAAGCCATAGAAAATAAAAGCTCAGAAATCGGCAGCCTCCGCTTTCTTTGCTAGGCATGCCCACTTGATCTCCACATTTTCCTGGAATAAATAAAGGGACACAAAGGCAGCATCTGCTTTTAAAAAGAAAAGAAAAAAGCGACCACATTGAGACTTTGCAGACTTAAGTTTCAGGGGATGTCACTGCACCAAATACCTTCAAAGGGCTGTAAACCATTTAGGGAGGCTCTCTCCCACTTTTGAAAAACTAATTAATCTTGTGAGCAAATAAATTGAAAGAAATAAAGGAAGGGAAAGGAGAGGCAGGGAGAGGAGAGAAAGGAAAAGAAAAGGAAAGAAAAGAACAGAGGAGAGGAGGAGAGACAGCCAGTCTGACTTTTACAACTTCTCATTCTCCCTGGAAGTTACAAGTCTTAGCTAACCACCCATCCTGACCTCATTCCAAAGTTCTTACTCTTAGTCACCCCTTGAATCTTTATGTATGCTAACAAAATTGAACGAAATTCCTGGTATACCTGCACAGTGTATTTAAATTACAGAATAACTAGACTTTTATGTATGCTTATTGTTTTTCCAATCAAAGTTGGACCTAGCACCTTCTAAGAGAACAGTACTCAGACTAACAAGGATGCAATCAAGAGACACGAAGACCGGGCTGTATTTAACGTTCACATTTATAGCTTCCGGGCTCGCAGGACCTGGTGACCCCTCAAAGCACAGAATTCAAATACATTCTGTATTCACAAAGATTCTCGGCACACTTCTCTGTTCCATTTAAGGATGCCTCTTAATAAAGTGTTCCTCTTTCTGGAATTACGTATTTGCTGCCAATTCTATTTCCAAATTGAGATACCAGAAGCAAAACAGGTACACAGTGGTGCCAAGCTAATCCCACGCCAACTTTGGGCAAGCAGAATGGACAGCCTGTGTTCTTGCAAAGTTCCCCTGCTTACTGGAGCTTAAATACCCACAGCAGCAAATAAACGCCAGATTCCTAAATCCAACAAAGACACACATGGAAATTTCCTTCCCCAAATGACTTAAGAAAACTGCCCTTTGCTTTCTGCGGCGAAAGGTGATGCCCCGAATTAGCAAAAGCTCTCTGCAGGGCAGGCAGCTCCGTGCAGCCTGAGCTCTCAGAAAGCAGACCCGCAGACTCGAAAGCACCCATCTCAGCGATTTAAAAAGCTCCCTTGCAAAAGGCCACCGTGCTTGAGAGCAGAAGCCCTGCCTGCAGCCCTTCCTCTCTCAGCCAGGCGCTGCCCGGGCGCTCCCTTACCTGGGCTGGCTGCGCTGCTCGCCTGGCCGTGCTGCTGCGCACCGCTGTGCACCGGGCGGCCGCGCTCAGCCCGAGCAGCTCCGAGCAACTGCGAGCTCTCGGCCGCACACCCGCGTTATATACACCGCGGGGACCGCAGGCGCCTCTAGATGGCAGCTTTGTAACCCTCACCGCTCTCTGCGCGCCGCCCCGGCGCGGTCACGCGCACGCGCACGCGCGCCCCTGTAAACTGCGCCGGTCGCCGTTTCCTGCGCCCGCGCGCTCCCGGGGAACCCCAGCCGGCCTGCATCTGCAAAGTCTAACGCAACTGCCAGGTCCAGACCCCATGGGGGAAAACGTCAGCACAAGAAAAACCGCAAAGAAACCCCAGTGCTTTGCAAAAGCATCAAATATTTATCTGGTCTCAGGTATATCTTTAATAATCCCATTAACACCAAGAGGTCTTTTGAATGCCTCTTAGCTCTAGGGAAGACTTTGTTCCCAAGACGGATTACTCTGAACTCCTGAACTTCTGTGTTGATTTATTAAGCCTGGGTTTTCTTTGTTAGTTTCTCCAAAACAGAAGTAAGAGAGTTTTGGTATGAGCAACTCATTGGTGCCACACCATATATCCCGAAAGTGGGGAAAAGAGCTTTTATAACAACCTTTATTTGAACATTTTTTACGTGTAAAGGCCTGCAGGTCCAAAATCCTTGAGAATCTAATCACGATGGTGTTCTGTAGGCCTGCCCAGTGCCAGACACATATTAGGAGTGCAATAAACGTCTTCTGATAATGTCTTTTCCTGAAGCGAGTTTAGCAAACACTTAATTATTGCCATTATTGAAATCTACATTCTTATCTAGAAGTGCGTTGCTAAGGTTGCCCATGAGGGAATGCAATCTAGAAATGTGGTCCACGCAATATGCATCTCCAATGCCCCATTTCGAAAACTCAACCATAAGAAAAAAACAAAAAGCCGCCCCCCCTCCCAAAAAAAAAAAACGTGTGCAACGTTTTGGTTTTCCTTGTGCCTTCTGATCCTCCTGGAGTTCTTTAAGAGCAGTTAAAAGTCGAACGTGTGGTGGCCCCAGCTGTATTCACACTTTGTCCAGAGCTAAAACTTTCTGAGATTCTTTCATACTTCCACTAAAAATAACGGCCGACAGCCAAACGCTGCAACTGGAGAATTGGGAGGTCAGAGCTCACGTGGCTGGAGAAAGCCCTTAACAAAAGAAAGATTCTGTTTGGATAAAGGCCTCCCATTTTCTCCCCACCTAGGGCAGGGCGTGTGGGACTCGCAGGGAGGGGCTCACCCTGCCTTGGGGACTTGCCGGGATCCGAGAGCCGGTGGTGGCCAGCCTTCCCGCCCCGTCCGGGCAGCCCAGCGCACTCTCAGACCCGGCTCAGCTGCTCTCCGTGCGCGCGGGCACCGAGCGTCCGGGCATCCCCGGCGGGGCGCTGCAGGAGCGGTGCAGGCGCACGCGGGCAGCGCGCTCGCACCCCGGATTCAGAGAGACCTTGACCGTGCACAGAATGCGCGTCCTAGCTTGGTTTGTGCTGTTTACTTAAGCGTCAGAAACTGATGGAAATGTCTAGAACTCTCCCGAGATGCAGCTCGGCTCTGCTCTCCTCTGCGCTGGCTCCACGGTCTGCTCCCCTTCGCGTCCGACAGCTCGGTGGAGGATCAAATGGTGGCTCGGTGGCTCGAATCCACTCTGCACCGTGTGCTCTCGCTAGAAGAGCCACAGTGACGAGAAATCTCCGACAGGATGCAGTTGCTAAGGCTCAGGAAGGAAAATGCAAAGTAGTTTTTAAAAACGAGAACCCACTTAGGGCGTCCGGGGGCCCTCGCGCGCCGGGCCGGAGTCCCTGAGGCCGAAAAGCAGCAGCCAGTGTCCACCCGACCCCGCACCCCGCGCCCAGCACCCCGCCCCGCGCCCACCTGTGGCCCAGGGCCTGTGCTCGACCCAGCCCCGACCCCATTCCGCCCACGCCCGTCTTCTGCCCCACACCCAGCCCCAGCGCCCACGAGGATTGCTCCGCGGGGGGTCACCGCCCCCCAGCGGCCCCCACCTCCCCAACTTCCTCCAAGCTGGGGTGCAGAGGTCTCCCAGAGAGGGCAGGCGGACCCCTGGCCCCAGGCTCGCACGCTGCAGGGCAGAGCTGGGCTTCTGGCCTGGAGACCTGCCCTCCGAATCCTCCCCGGACCTCCCTCTGTCCAGAAACCAGTCCTGGGGGAAGATGAGAGGGTAAGCCAGCCATGCGCTATAGGAAAACAAGATTCCCTTGCCCTGGGACCTAAAATGGCTCTTTGAAAGTTTTGGAGCGTGCCCAGCTTTTGGAAAGATTGCATTTTTAATGTAGAGGCAGAAAGCTCCACCCGTGTCCTCTCAGGGTCCCGCTGGGTCCGAGGATTAAATTGACATGAGCTAGACTACAGGAGGGAAGCGTAATATTATTACACGTTTCACGTGGTCCCGGAGCCCTGGTAAAGAGATGACGACACGAGGAAGCAGAGCCAGCTGCTTGTGTACTGCATCAAACAGGGAACAGCAAACTGTGAAAATGACTAAATTATGTGGGAGGCTTGAAAGAAGAGTTATTCTGACAAGGTCTTTACAGAAACTTCTAGCTCTTAAGATAAGGATGTTGTCTTTCCTTCTGGTATAGGGAGACTGCCTTTCACACGGGAATTTTATCTTCTTTAAGAAGGTCAGAGTGGTCTTCTTGCACCTGCTGTTTTAATATACCAGCATAGCGTGTTTTAACCTCTTCAGTAAGGTCCTATATAATGGTTCGTTTTCGTAGGTGTTTGGTTACCCCAATAGGAAACTTTGAGAAGGCGGGAGCAGGATGCTGTCCCTAGAGCTGTCCCAGGGGACCCAGAATTCGAAGTCCAGGGATGTTTTGCTGGCCCTGAGTACTTAGTGGAAAGGGGTCAGGAAGGGGCTTTCAGGCCAGCCCCCCTCGCCTTCCTTGTCGCTAATCCGCACCTGGGGTTTTGTGCCCAGCAGAGCAGGCTGCTTCCTTTCACGTCGGCTCTGCCTGCAAATGTGGCACCGCCAGCCTCCCGCCTGAAACCCCACTTGGCTTAAAAGCACTGGGGTCCTGCAGAGCCAGAGCGGTGGCAGGCAGGGAGCACAGGTAGAGTGGAGACAGGGCAGCGACTGGTGACGGTGACATGGCCCCAGAGATCCTCAACTGCACCACTGGCCTGAGGACAAGACCTTAGGGATTCTGGGAGCTGCGCTCCTGGGAAGAAACTTCCTTATCTAGTAGCTTGGCATGGCGGAAGTCACTTCAATTAGGACTGGACATTCCCCCCGAATAATCGTGACACCAAGTGAGCCCCTTGTGTGGGGCCAGGGCCTTAAAGCAAAGAAGGGCCCGACCCACAAGGAGACTGGATTCCTCTGTCTAGACAGCCTGGCGAGGAACCATAGGGTGGGAAACTCTACCTCCGTCCTCTTAGTGTCCCAGCTAGGTCCGAGAATTAAATTGAAATACGTAGAATAGATTAACAGGAGAAAAGCATAGTACGAATGTTACATGGCACTGAGCTCTCCTAGAGAAATGAAGACCCCAAAGAAGTAGTTAGAGTCAGCCGCTGATATGTTGGACGAAGAATAGTCGTGAAGAAGCAAATAAGTTATGCGGGGAGGCTTAAAAGATAAGAGTTATTTTTAGCAAGATCTGGACAGAATTCTCTGGGTTTCGACTTTGAGTGTAAAGCTAGCGCATCTTTCTCATACAGGGAGGGCAGCTTTGTCATGGGAATTGCACCTTCTGCTTTTAAGAAGTAGCAGGAAGGTCAAAGTGATCGTTTTGCACCTGCTGTTTTCCAAGTGTGTTTAACCTAAACAGTCAATGTGCCGTAATAGCATATTTTAACCCCTTCGACACCATGTCTCCTCGGGCACCTTAGCCTCTTTGGGTGTTAGGCCTCTGTCTTTCGTAATTTCAATAAAACCTTCTATTCTCTCTGGGTGCTTGGCAGGGTTAGGTGAGAGGGTGCACGTTAGCAGTACCTCGAAGGTACCCAGAATGACTAGTTCTCTTCCCACCTCTGTCCCCAGCCAAAGTCCAGTGACACAGAACATTTTTTTATGGAATACAACAGATATATAACCCAAGGCCCGACGACAGTTTATGAACTTTGGTGAACTTTAGGAAGATTTTGTAATCGTAGCCAAATCTGAGCGTTCACTGTTTTCCTGTCTTTTTGCTGAGTGTGTCGCCTACATTCTTTCATGTAATCTTCACAGCCGCCATGAAAGTTGGCACTATTTTTGTCCCACTCTTGCCACAGAGGAAACTAAGGCGCAGGGAGAGTAGGTGACGTGCCCAGGGGTGACTGTGACTGAGCAGAGGCTGAACTCAAACGCAGGTGTGCCTGACTGCAGGGCACGTGCTCTTGCCTGGCACCAGAGGAAAACACCCTCTGTAAAGAGAAGAAAAACCACTGTAAACATGCCAGGGTGTCTGAAGACTGAAGACTTCCCTAAGCCTTAAAAGCAGACTAAGGTAAGAATTCAGGGGCAGCTGATTTTTATTAAGGAAGAGCTCCCCAAAGAAACTAGCAAGGAAAGGAGAAAAGGACAACCAAGGGTATGATTTCTGGCAAAATCTCAGCAGCAGCCCGGTCCCCATGGCTCCCCGAAGGCTGAATTATACTCTAGTTTCATGCTGGTTAAGGGCTGCTGGGTAGAAGGTGGGGTATGTAACTGCCGAGCTCAACGCTTGGGGGCAGAGCAGCTCCAGTAACCCAGCGGAGGTTAGGCTGTCAAAGGTTAGTTCCAGCCCCAGTCCTGGGCAGTAAACCCCCATTAACGGAAACCTCAGGGGGTCCAGGATATCTGGGACGGCGCTGCTCTCTAATTAATACTCAGACCAACTCATTTCTACCTCAGGGCCTTTGCACTGACACTCTTTCTTCCTGGCATGCTCTTCCCAGTGACTGTTACATGGCTGCCTCCTCCTCATTATCCTGACCCAGGCTTACCCATAATCTCTTTGGAAGAAGCTTCTTTACCCACTCTGGCCAAAATCTCCTCCCCTCCCATTTACTCTCTCC